ACATATATAGATGGTGAGTATTCATGTGTTGCTATCATGACGTGTTGATGTTTATAAATTATTATTATAAGTTGTTGTTTATGACTATGTAATGCTCAAATCGATGTGTTGCAAATCTTGGTAATTTTACCCGTGGGTACCCATTTACCCTGACGGGTGATGGGTATGGGAAAAAGTTGTACCCGTCGACGGGTATGGGTACGGGTAATGTGTAAGATTTGGGGCGACGGGTAAGGGTATGGGGTGGCTCCACCCGTACCCAAACCCTGCGGGTGCCATCCCTAATTTCAAGGAGTCAAAAAGAGCCAGGATTTTCACTTTATATTAAACCTTAACTATCATGCATACATCTCAAATGCCATGCAAAGCTTAATAGGGCGAATGTTAACTTGAGTTCCTAGCGACAAAGCAAGGACATCGTTTTGCTTTTTGTCTAGTCATCTTAGTGACTTGTCTCACAAGCCTGGTAGAGATACTTACTCGTTACATAGCAAGGCCATGAAGAATTGAAATTAGCAAATAATCCAAAATCAAGCCAAATAATCTTTCCACACTTGTGAATCACAATTTCACCATCACTAATTAACTAACAAATCAATGTTTTGTATTCATGTTTCTGTTATGTTACACAAAGGGTTTGGTGCGCGATCTATATTTCTTTTGCTATCCGAGTTGGAAATCAATCAACACTAAGAAGTTTCTCCTTGTTGGTTGAGTTTGTGAGAGGTTGTTTATCATGATTTCTGGGGTTATTCACTTTGGGGTTGCTCATATGCATATGTGCAATAAATGATACAAACATTGGCAAGCACGGCACACGCGGTAAACTAAATGACCACAATAATTGGCATGTGATGTTTGGTGAAAAAAATTGATATCCTGGCCACACAACACAGTTTCACTTGCTAATCTTCTATACATATCTACTAGTACTAGCTTCCACATGCAGCAGGATCTGGCTCAGTTAAGAAAAAAGGTTTCCTCCCGCTTTGTATTCCAAAGCAACCATCCGATACATCCAACGATAGGTGCTGGGGCGGAAGCAGCACAAGCACGCCTAAAAAAACAAAAAGAAACAAATGCCGATAACGGCGGATCGGCAAAAACGAAGAAGCCTCGCGACCGCTGCGTCCACTGGAGATCGCCCACCAAGCTCCGAGACTCCGAAGCGCCGGTACCAATCAACACCTCCACGAAGGAACGCGACGATGACGACGCTGCTGCCAAGAGTTTCCCCCGGGATCTGGCTCAGTTGCTAGGGGAGAATGCCAAAATTTAGGATGAGAGCAACAATGAGGACCATGGTGATTGACATCGGCAGTTACATAGCATGATCTAGTAGGGAACGAGATGTATTGGAAACTTGAGTTGGATACAGGTATGAAAATAGATTAATGCATGGAAGAGAAGTAGATCTAACAAAACATAGCCCAATGTGGCGCTATGTTGTCAATTCAATGCATTTCATCCTAGAGTGTTGAGCTGCATATTACATCACTTGGATACATACCAATTGGTCGAGCTAAGCATGGCTCTGTCTCCGAAGCTGGGAAAGATAGAATGAAAAATATATGTATTCTATCTCTGTTATCCTAAATGGGCTCGTGTGACTTAAAGCATGAGAACACGCCGTTATTAACATCTACTCATCACCTTGCCGTCTTTGGTTGTTTATAAATCGTGTTTGTCCAAGCCCGCCTTTCTTTCCCCAGAAAGTAGAACAAAACTTTTGTTATATTAACCAAAAGTTACGTTCAACAGTCAATGAGACTTGTGCACATATGGTCCTTTAAGTGTGGCGATGACATCAGTGTCCTCCAACCGTATAAAGGAAAACCACGTAATAGTAAATTAATATAAATAAGGAAAATATGTTTTACTTTGAAACTACTCCATTTAAAAATAGACTACATTTTAGGCATCTATTTACTTGCAATAGTAAGTGACGTTCTAGGAAATGCCCTTTGGTGGACGGGTGCATTGGTGGACTTAATAAAACATATTTCCACAATGCAAAAAAATAAAAACAATTGTACACACACAAATACACATATAACACGTTCAAGAAAAAAATTCATAACAATATACTTTCATACATGGCATAGACAAAAAAACAAATACATAAATGAAAATGGACCAATCTTTTTTTATTGTTGGGCAGGATTTTTTTTTTGTGCTGCTTGCAAATCATAATATTTTAAAATGAAATCTCCCAAATCCTTCATGAATATGTACAAGTTTCCATAGTTTTTTTTAAATTGAAAGTTGGAAATATGATTTTTGAATCATTTCAAAAAAAACAGGAGCCAATGCCCCCGTCTACCAAAAGATCGCTTCCGTGACGTTCTACGCTTTCTAGAGATAACTCACATCATCTCCTATCATATTCTTGTCCTCCTTGAGTGATTTCCTTTTTTTCGACGACCATGAGTGAATTCCTTACTACTCCCTTCTTTCTAGATTATAAAGTGTCCATACATTTTACGATTCAACTTCGACCATTAATTGGCCAGTAACAAATGAATTATTCTCATAAAATTGAAATATATGAAACTTCCTTTTGAATACGAATTCAGTGGCATTACTTTTTGGGTCACTTAACCCACATTTTACTAAAATTATTGCAGTTATAACCTAAGTAAAGATTCCCTATACCAACATCATCTATTGGTTGCTTTTATAGTGTATGCTCATCCCTATAATATGACATCCCGGGTGATGGGTAGCCTGGCCCGAAGCCATACGTCTGGGCCAGGCTCGGACCTCACTTACCAGCCCACAGCCCGCGACCCGAAGCCCAAGAAAAGCTCGGAGAAACATGATTTATACGCTTTTATATAAATATAGGTACAGTATTATAGTACTAATCCCCGAAAGTAGCAATATTTTTATGTTAAAATGTGAAAATGGGCATTTTGTCGGGCTGCCGGTTCACCTAGGTTGGGCTCGTGCTTGTATTTTGAGGTCGGGCTTTTTGAAACCCGGCCCGGCCTGGAAATGCCCAGGATTAGTTTAAATGGATCATCTCAACGAGTCAAAAAAGAGGCAGGATTGCCACTTTATGTTAAACCTTAACTATTATACATAAATCTGAAATGCCATGCAAAGCTTAGTAGAGTGAATGTTAACTTGAGTGCCTAGTTAGGGCATGTCCAATGCCTGAGCGCTTGCACGAGCGCTTAAGGAAATAAAAGAAAATTTAAACCATGTAGCAGCGGCTGGAGCATTCAGTCCTCCAACCTAATGACCAGTGGCGTAGTTAGGGGGTGGTCAGGGTGGTCTATGAACCACCCTAGAATTTTCCCATAGCTTGTATATAGTGTAGTAAAAATATATTTCTTTATAAATAAATAAAATTATGTAAATATTTATATTGATGGGCCACCCTGGCTTATTGGACTGATTACGCCACTGCTAATGACAAGGCCAGGCGCTTAATATGGCACACTTCGAGTCCTAGCGCAGAAGGAAAAGAGGTCTAGCACCCGGCGCGAGAAGTTGCGTCGACGCAAGACTGAATCCTGGGCTTAGCTGGGAACAGAAAAAAAATTGCTGGGATTTTGGGCATAACGGCTGGGGATTTGACCCTAGCGTCCGAGCTAAGCGCCCCCATTGTATGTGCCCTTACAAAGCAAGAATATCGTTTTGCTTTTTGTCTAGCCATCTCAGTGACTTGTCTCACAAGCCTGGTAGAGATACATACTACACATTCATCATCGCAAAAAAAAAGATACATACTACACATTCGTTACGTAGCAAGGCCATGAAGAATTGAAATTAGTAGATAATTCGAAATCAAACCAAGTAGTCTTTTCATACTTATGGATCGCAACTTCACTATCACTAATAACTAACAAATCAGTCTTTTGTATTCATGTTTCTGTTAAGTTACACAAAGGGTTTGGTGGGCAATCTATATTTCTTTTGATACCCGAGATCAAAATCAATCAACGGTAAGAAGTCTGTCGTTGTTGGTTGAGTTTGTGATAGGTTCTTTGCCACGATTTGCTAGCATTATTTGCTTTGGGGTTGGTCATATGTATATGTGCAATAAATGCTACAAACATTGCCAAGTACGCCCATCCTCTACATAACTTAGATGCACACAGTCAACAAAGTCCTCGCACCAAGCCAAAAAGAAGAAAACGAAATATAAATAACTAAGTTCTGTATAACGCCAAGTCGTAGGTGGCCCAATTCTAAGATCATGCTGCCACCCATGTTGGGTAAAAGTATCTCTTGCCGTGGCCTCCAATCGTGTACACACCTCTGTGAACAGGTCTTAATTCTCCACTCGTTATAAAAAGGACCATAAACATAGCATGATCTAGCAGGAAACGGGATGTATTGCAAATTTGAGTCAGAGACAAGTTTGAAAAAAGAATCCTCATAAGAGCAGTAGAACTAGGAAGAACATAGCACAACGTGACTCTATGTTGTCAATTCAATGCATTTTCATCCTAGAGTGTTGAGCTGCATATTTCATCACTCAGGTACATACCGATTGGTCGAGCTAAGCATAGCCCGGTCTCCGACACTTGTAAAGATAGAATGAAAAATAAATGCAGTCTGTTCATGTAATCCTAAATGGAGTCTTGTGACTTCAAAAAATGTTGATAGAAGTACTTTTGACAAAATAAGAGGTGGCTTAATTTGGTGGTTGCATTATTACGCTAGTGAAGTGAACCTTATCTCAATGATACAAACACCATACACTGATCGAGCTTGCATATATTCATCGATGCAACAAAAACAAATGTGATCAAATCAATTTCTTGGTACACAACACGCAAGTCCACATGCATGACAACTATTCCCTCCGTTCCTAAATATTTGTCTTTCTAGAGATTTCAACAAGTGACTACATACGGAGCAAAATGAGTGAATATATACTCTAAAATATGTCTATATACATCCATATGTAATAGTCTATTTAAAATTTATAAAAAAAGACAAATATTTAGGAACGGAGAGAATATATTAGACGTCGTTGAAGCGTCTCAGGCCTCGACCTCGTCGATGTAGTGCTCCTGGCGTCCCTGGTCGACCAGAACCCCCTGCAGCTTCTTGGCGTTGGTCGCCAACACCTTCCCGTGCTCCTCCACCATGACTCGCCGCACCGCCACCGCGACACCGTCCCGGTCAAACGAACCGTCGTTCTCGTCCCTCGCCACCTCCACGCCGATCCCTCTCTCTACCATCGCCCGCGCGATCAAGGGCTGGTCGACGACGAACGGCAGCATCACCAGCGGGATCCCGGAGGAGAGGCTCTCGATGGTGGAGCCCCAGCCACAGTGCGTCAAGAACGTGCCCGTGGCGCAGTGCGCCAGCGCCTCCACCTGCGGCACCCACCCCGTGCAAACCACCCCGCGGTGCCGCGTACGCTCCTCGAACCCGGCTGGCAACAGAAGCTCGTCGTCGTTGCTGGTGCCCGCCGGCTTGCGTAGCGCCCAGAGGAAGTGCACGCCGGCGAGCTCTAGGCCGAGCGCGAGTTCATGGGCGTTCTCTGGCGTCAACGGCGCCTCGCTTCCCAGCGCAACGAAGATGACGGAGTTGGGAAGCTGGTCGTCCAGCCATCGCAGGACCTGCGGACGGACGATGCTGCCTGAGCTGCTCTGCCGGTGGTCTTCTTCAAGGTCGCCGGGTGCCCCCGGTAGAAGGATCCCGGCGGGGACGGCGGGCTTCCGGAAGAGATCGGATAGGAGGCCGAACATCCGGGGCTCCAATTCCTCGCAGCTCCGGTGTATGATCCGTTCTAAAAAAAAGCTCCGGTGTATGGTGAGGCGGCTGCGCTCCAAGACCTGCCACCAGCGGTCCATGTCGGACACGCCGGATGCGTTGGTACGGAAGGCGTCGGTGACCCACTGGGCCTCGTGGCGGAGGAAGAAGGTGGTGGACGGGAAGGGAATCCACCTGGGTGTCTCGGCGAAGTGCTCCGGCTCCATGCGCGGGTGTGCGGCGTTTGCCCACCGCGGCCCCAGGAAGACCGACAAGGCGGCCTGGGAGGCTGGGAAGTCAGGAACGTGGCGGATGCCACCTTGAGCTGGTCGGCGATGGGCGGGACCCAGTGGTGGCAGAAGTCGTGGACGATCCAGTCGGGCCTCCTACCGGCGGCGAGGAACGCCGCGAGTGGGCCGGCGAGGCCGTCCATGGCCTTCTTGAGGAGCCCGACCTTGTCGGGCGACAGGTCAGACGTGACCTCGGCGCCCTCCAGCAGCCCATCCACGGCCGGAAGATGCAGCGGCACGAACCGGAGGCGGGCGGACGAACCGGAGGCCTGGCGAGATTCCGCGGCGTGGACACGAAGGACACGGTGTGGCCCCTGGCCGCGAGGCGCTTGGAGAGCTCCAGGAACGGGATCATGTGGCCGAACGCCAGCCACGGGAACACCACCACCTCCAGCCCGCCGGCGCCGGCAGCCGCTGCTTCCATTGCCATCTGCTCGCAACGGATCGATGGAGCGAAGTAAAACAGGGAGAGGCTTGGTCTTTGGTGTTGCTGCTGGGCAGTGGGCATAAACTAAATAATGGAGCTCTTGGGGGAAAAGCTATTCTCACATGCATTAATATAGCCCCGTATAGTGGCACTCATTAATGCACGTTGTGCCATGCTGTTCAAGCTTTTCCATCAGTCGGACAGAAACGAGTCGTTGTAAGTACCGTTGATCCAATTATTTTTTGAAAGGTGAAGTTCTCTATACTCTGTCAGTTGCCTTAGCAATAGCGTGACATACTGAGAGTGCATTTGAGCAAGATATTACTTCTAATACTAATTAAACTAAGTACAAATTGTGAATAATTGATAATGGATGAACTATTTTTGAGTGCAACCATTCACTGCAGGCTTCAAACTGAAGGGGTGTTTTTCTTTATTTAAGAGGACTTGCCTTTTCTTTCAAGACATGATGTCATGTGCATTTCATTCAAAATCTTTTCTGATGTACACTTGAAATAAAAACTGACCTGCATGTCTCGAAAATACATTATAGTAACCAGGTGATGACTGTGAAGAAGCATTTGAAATAGATGCAAGGAAATGTAATAAATAAACAAGGTTCAAAAGTGATGAACCGATACTTACAATGCAAATAGTGTGATCGTGTTGCCAGGACATAAATAATCCACCATACTACAATAAAGGTATGTGTGGGAGGTTATCAGGTTAACAAATATTAATAACACCAAATAGATGCTATATACACCTTTCTGGTATTCCAGTGTACTTCTTCCGCTTTACCACCCATCATCAGAACTAACTCCTTGAAAGCCCAATCGAAATATTCTGCAGTCTCGTTTGTAAGAAGTACTCCAGCGAAAATAATACTCTGGAAGTGGTTATTCACTCCAACGAACATCCTAAACGGCATCTTGTATATGTTGGTCTCGTACGTTGTATCGAATGTTACAACATCACCAAAGTGAGAATATAGAGCTCTGCTCGGACCACTTGTCCACATGAGAGACCTTAGATTTTTATTGGCGTCCAGCTGCATTGAGAAAACAAACCTATTGTCCTGAGCTATATTGTCTCTGAAACCCTCAATTGTTTTTCTTACATCATCTTTTAGAGCTTCACCTGCAATGTCCGGACACAAAGTCCTCAGAGCCTTCTTCATGAATGGAACACCATCCGTTGTACCATAGAAGCTGCCAACTATGCCATTTATTCTGCTAAGGCTAACCATAGTTTTGGTAGAATCATCTATGTGTCTATGAGAAAACAAATGCTTCTTCTGGCCACAACTCTCAACCAGATCATGGTTGTGTTGTTCATTGAATATCTTGACATACCATAGTAAATCATTGGACCTAAGCAACCTTAGCCGTGCACGACATCCACATTTGGTGCTGCTGAGCTTTGTCTTCTTATCAATGCCCTGAAATGTCAGACAAATATTTGTTAAGAATAAGAAAGATCTATTTGCGTAAGAGTAATATCGCATAAAGTTTATACCTAGAAACTTTCACTACCAGAAAAACTGGGGTTGCCGACGGCCAAATCTATGCCGACGGCCCCCGTCGGCATCTATGGACCTATGCCGACGGCCAAGGATAGGCCGTAGGCGTAGAATAGCCGTCGGCATACATCCATCTATGCCGACGGGGCCGTCGGCATAGACGAGGCCGTCGGGACCGTCCGAGCTACGCCTACGGGGCCTGTCGGCATAGGACAGGCCATCGGCATAGCCCGGGCCCACCTGCCCGGTCAGCGCTGACCATTTGACGGCGTTGATCCTACGCCGACGGGCGGTAATGGCGGCCGTCGGCATATCTGTGGCAGAGGTATGCCTATGGCATAGCCGTCGGCATAGGCCCCTCTGCCACGTCAACGATCCGTGTGCCACGCCACGTCATCGATCCGTGTGTGCACAGATATGCCGACGGCCTTGCCGTCGGCATATGTTTACTTTACTTAATTTTTTATTTTTACTTTGGTTATCTGTGGTAGAGGTATGCCTACGGCACAGCCGTCGGCATAGGCTCCTTCGCCACGTCATCGATCCGTGTGCCACGCCACGTCATCGATCCATGGGACAACCTCCGTCATCGATCCTTGTATTTTACTTTATTTTTTTATTTTTACTTTGTTTTGTTATTTTTACTTTATTTTAGTTTTTGCTTTTGCATAAGATAATTATGCCTTATCTAAAAAAACATACCCGATGGTATATCGATTGCCCCCCGTTACGAACGTCGCTATCGCCGTGTCACGGAGGGGGGAAAGGTCGACACGAAATGAATTCTGGTTGGTGGGGGGATTCGGGGTGTAGCTATGTCACCAAAACATCGCACGGGTCCCGATGCATATGTGAAAGTGTTCATGCATGCGTAGACGCCCGTCTTGGGGCTCCGGGGTCTGCCCCCCCTCACGGACGGCGCTGCCGCCGGGACCTGGAGGGGGGAAACAGACGCGTGGGGTCTACACGGAGGGGATCTTGCTGTGGGTCTGGCCCGGATGTTGCTCCAAAGTGTTCCTATGGGTTGACCTAACACAACCGGGTGGGGAGGTCCACTGGTCAAAGCCCGTTCGTGCAAAGTCAAAGGGCTAGATTCCGTGGTCAAACGCTACAGGGTTAGGCGGGACGGGGGCACTGGGGGTAGCAATGCCACCGGGTCGCACCGGGCCCTCATACATGCGGGGTGGTGTGGTGGCATGTCCGAAGAGGCGGGACGCGTCTCCGGTGCGTGGCCCCCCTCACGGACGGCGATGACACGGTAGTAGACGTTCCGCGGTAACGATGCGACGTCAATATTACTAAATACTCGAAGCGCGATAAAATCATGAGTTTTTTTGCACGACGTGGGCACATGTGCTATAGGAACGATGGTATTTTTTCATAATTTTTGGTGATGGAGAAGTATCCGAAAAATTCCCTCTACGCGGATTGCCCTTCGCGCGTCTACGGCTGTGGCCGGCGGCCTCCGGGGGCTAGCATGCCGCCAAATCTTGCGTAGGCGGCCTCTCACAAGTCTGGAAGTGTGGTGGAGGTTGCAAACGCCCAGCACGCGTGTCCGGGGTGTGCCCCCCCCCCCTCACGGACGGCGCTGCCGCTGGCACCTGGAGGGGGGAAACGGACGCGTGGGGTCTACACGGAGGGGATCTTGCTGTGGGTCTGGCCCGGATGTTGCTCCAAAGTGTTCCTATGGCTAACCTAACACAACCGGGTGGGTAGGTCCACTGGTCAAAGCCCCGTCTGTGCAAAGTCAAAGGGTTAGATCTCGTGGTCAAACGCTACAGGGTTAGGCGGGACGGGGGCACTGGGGGGTAGCAATGCCACCGGAGCGTCGCACCGGGCCCTCATACATGCGGGGTGGTGTGGTGGCATGTCCGAAGAGGCGGGACGCGTCTCTGGTGCGTGGCCCCCCTCACGGACGCGATGACACGGTAGTAGACGTTCTGCGGTAACGATGCGGCGTCAATATTACTAAATACTCGGAGTGCGATAAAATTAAGAGTTTTTTTGCACGACGTGGGCACATGTGCTATAGGAACAATGGTATTTTTTCACAATTTTTGGTGATGGAGAAGTATCCGAAAAATTCCCTCTACGCGGATAGCCCTTCGCGCGTCTACGGCTGTGGCCGGCGGCCTCCGGGGGCTAGCATGCCGCCAATCTTGCGTAGGCGGCCTCTCATAAGTCTGGAAGTGTTGTGACGGTTGCAAACGCCCGGCACGCGTGTCCGGGGTGTGCCCCCCCTCACGGACGGCGCTGCCGCCGGCACCTGGAGGGGGGAAACGGACGCGTGGGGTCTACACGGAGGGGATCTTGCTGTGGGTCCGGCCCGGATGTTGCTCCAAAGTGTTCCTATGGGCTGACCTAACACAACCGGGTGGGGAGGTCCACTGGTCAAAGCCCGTCCGTGCAAAGTCAAAGGGCTAGATCCCGTGGTCAAACGCTACAGGGTTAGGCGGGACGGGGCACTGGGGGTAGCAATGCCACTGGAGCGTCGCACCGGGCCCTCATACATGCGGGGTGGTGTGGTGGCATGTCCGAAGAGGCGGGACGCGTCTCCCGTGCGTGGTCCCCCCTCACGGACGGCGATGACACGGTAGTAGACGTTCTGCGGTAACGATGCGGCGTCAATATTACTAAATACTCGGAGCGCGATAAAATCAAGAGTTTTTTTGCAAGACGTGGGCACATGTGCTATAGGAACGATGGTATTTTTTCATTATTTTTGGTGATGGAGAAGTATCCGAAAAATTCCCTCTACGCGGATTGCCTTTCGCGCGTCTACGGCTGTGGCCGGCGGCCTCCGGGGGCTAGCATGCCGCCAAATCTTGCGTAGGCGGCCTCTCACAAGTCTGGAAGTGTTGTGGCGGTTGCAAACGCCCGGCACGCGTGTCCGGGGTGTGCCCCCCCCCCCCTCACGGACGGCGCTGCCGCCGGCACCTGGAGAGGGGAAACGGACGCGTGGGGTCTACACGGAGGGGATCTTGCTGTGGG